ACCCAAGCAGCGAAATAGGGACATCAGTGAACTCATAATGACAGAATAAATGGGCTATTCTGAGCACTCAGCGAAGCGTATTTACTGCTTTTCAAAAAATTCTAACATTTCCTTGTTTATTAAATTTGTTGAGAAGCAATGAAATCTCCTGCAATTTTATTTTTAAATATCATTTTACTACCCAACCACAACAGTAAATTCATAAACTAACACGTGATTGACCAGGACTATGGAGTAAAAAAAAAAATTGTTTGCTTTGTACATTCTTATTAGTCTTGGCTAAGATGTTATAAAAGCAGTATCTTTTAACACCTTTTATTATACAAGGGTCAAGGGGTTTTTATGTTTCTTAAAGAAAGCTTCAAATAGCCCACATAGCGGGTTACTGCATCTTTCATATGGCTGCTGTATAAACAAGCACATTTTACACAGGAAATGACATAACCATGTAAAAGTGTACATGGAGTTTAGGCACATATTCAAACACTAATGGGAATGCATTGTTTTAAATGGCATACTTTTATGTTTACCTATTGAGCTTAGTACCCATATTTTAGCCAAATACAACAAAAATTATCCACACATACCTGTCTTATAGTGTACTGTTTATTTGAAATTTGGACCTTCACAAAGACTCTCGTGGGACAGATAATGACCCTAAAAAGTAAATACAAATGAGGCATTCTCAGTGAGAGAGTGAAACCTGCCATCATAAAGGTGGAAAGCTGAACTTTTAACCTGTATTGCTTTACAGCTCAGGTTTCTGTGCCTTTCTACCATCCAGTTGCTAACACCAATTCACCCATGGGAAGAAAGCCCATAACAATAATTTAGGGTGTCTACCTTTGCACGTTATATAATGACCATGCTAAAGAAAGTAGTGCCAAACTTCTGCAATTTCTCTGTTTCTTTCCAGGTTTTTTTTGCTCTGTGTCAGCCTCAAACTCTGCTCTATCCCTAAACCTCTGTTTTCAGAAAGGAATGGAAGTTGAGTGAAGTCCACCCAGGTTGTGCTTTTGTGCTTATTGGTGATGGTAAAAGTTTGTAATGGCCACCGTTCACATATCTTGGGAAGCTACGATGCACGTTTCCGTTCTCACACCAGATCACCGAACCTGCAGATATCCGTGTAAAGTCTTGGCAAGATTTGCAATGGTTTGTCAGTAGAAATCGAATGGGTATGTGGAATTCAGGAGACAAAAATGACAGCTCACTGTGTCTTTTTGTTGCTATTGAAATTTTAGGTGAATTAAGAGTAGCAGAAACTGCTTTGAGAAGAGCAGTGGAAGAGGTCACTCCCTTCAGCACTTAAGTGATCATAACCATTCAGTAAGTATCTTCCAATTAATTACAGAGACAGAATTCTGTGCCAGATGATCCCAATGGCTCAAACAATACACCAGTAAGGCACCTATAGCCTAGTATACATTTACACCATAGTGAAAGTCAGTAGACCACTCCCAAATAAAATAGTGTTCAACTGGAATTCCCAGAGTTATCAAACAATTTCAGTAATGTAAATACAAAAGGATACTCTGGACATCGCAGCACTGGTTTATAACCAGTGTTACAAACCAAGGGTATTAAATTTGAGAGTTAAAAGCAAAAAAACTACCCTGATCCTGCCATCGATTACACCCACCACTGTAAACTCCTCACTTTGAGCTGGACCAAACCTGGGTAGTGCCAGGACTGTCCCTTCTCATGTCACCACATTTGAGCTACCAACTAAGCAAAGTGAATGTCATGTTACCTCCTAACCTAACAGCTGGGCTGAAATTGCAAACTGCCTCTGATTAGGCCAAACCCAATATCTGGCAATTTCGACGTGGTAATAATCCATTATAATTCTAGCATTTCAGTGTCTGTAGTTTCAAATTTGTTTAAACTGATCTTAAAGACCTACTAGTGGTTTGTTTTGGTTTTTTCTTTTCCCTTTGAGGTATAACTACTGTGTAGCAGAATTTTGGGTTTTGAGCCATAACCAAAGCATGATTTTCAAGACTTTAGTATGTCAGTATTTTAATTTTTCCTCAGTTCATACTGTTTGCTTTGGGATAACTGCAAAATAATTACATTTTTTTCCATTTAGATGCTGATACATACTCAATTTAACTACCATTTACCTGAATCTTTATCTTGCTTTATTCATGTATTGAGAAATTCATACAAGGACAGGAAACAAGAACCTAGGAGAGACACCTACTAGGTTTTTACACCTTTTTACTGTGACCAGCCTCACCAGGATCCTCAGGCTGATCAACAGCTCCACAGTGTGAAGTCTATAGCAGTTTTCCTCCTCAGATTTCCAAACTATCACGCATTGTGTGTAACACCAATGCTACCTTCCTCCAAAGCTGTCGCAGCATCTCACAAATCCAGCTGGGATTGAATCAAACTGCCCTTTACAGGCAGTTACAGTCCCAGGAGTTAACTTGTCTGCTGAGACAACTTTGATTTGCTTCAAGTCAATTTAAATAGGCAGCATTTGCTATTTTAAACTGATCACCCTGAGCCACTGAGGAATGTGCCTGTGTGGCATGGCACAACTGTGTCTGTCATATGTGAGAACAGAGATTTCACTGGGAATGTGCAAACAGGGATATGCATGGGGAGCAGCACTCTTTCACTCAAGGAGGAAAGGAGGCAACCCTTTCTCGTGGTCATCTAGCCACCCTCTCCAGAAGGTAGCTGTGGTCAGTGCTAGGGAAAGGATCTGTAAAAGCCGCAAGCCAGTCACCTAGAAAACAGCCAGGAGCAAAAAAACAACTGCTTGAACAGAATGGGCAAAAAAGTCTGAGATGCCCTGTTGGCTGTGGAGATGCCCTGTTGGCAGGAGAATGTTTCCTCTCTTACTGTAGCAATGGTAAATCATATCTAAATAAGCTTGTAGTGAAGCTTAGAATTAAAAACTCCTCGGTGTTTGGAACATCGTATGAGACTGGCTGGTGATAAGCAGGCAGTGCAGGGAACAGTAACTGTTGGTCCTGGCCTAAGACTCCATCAAGAAGAGGAATAGCAGGACCTGGGAAGCGCACACACCTAAGAATCCAGAAGGGAGACAGAGGGGCCCTGGGGACAGCCCTGACCCACAGAATAGATCCATAAGATGCCAGAATTTCTCATGCACATATTACAAAGTAGCTTCAAGTGCTCGTCATTCTGCATGCCTGTTGACCTGGTAGCTTGTGATTTGCCCTCCTGCCAAGTACAGCATTCTGACCCACCTCGTTTTGTGTTACCGCATGTCCTGCACCAAGCAATATCAATTCCTGCAGGTAGAAATCACGGCGCTAAGCTGTTACAAAGAGATTATATGTATGAAAGCTCCCTGCAGTGCTTTTTTCTGTATCACCCTGCTGCAGGTTATGGTACAGGACAGGTCTGCCTGCACAGGGAAACCCCATGTGCCCGGCAACAAGGCCGCTTAACCAGGTATTTTAAGCTGGTTAAAGGCTCAGCCACCTCAAGAGTGCAGGAGGTGCAGAGCTTTCTGTCACTGTTTCTCTATGACCATTGACCAGGAATTTAGGACGGTTTGCGGCTAGTGTGAGCTACAGCACGTCCAGTCTGGGGTACTGACCAGGAGGACCTCAGGGGCCATATTCAGCTCCCTGTCGTACCCACAGCAGTGATGCTGTGCAGGGGAGAGTTCAGATCCAGGAAATCGTGTGACTTGGTGGTTTAAACTGTGATGAAACAATATCAAACCTTAGCATTTATATTTTATACTACTGATAAGCTACTTCAATAATTTCTGGTGGTTTTTCAGGCCTTCCTGATCCATCTACAGTTGAACATCTGGTACCTAGTTTTGTAGGTGGAAACATACACAGAGTAATCCCACAATGAATTTATAGTCCATGTCTAGAATAGACAAAGGGGATATGCAAACACACAACCCTTGGGGGGTGGAATAAAAGGATACCAGGGCTCTTTTGCAATCATCTGCCTAACTCATTTTTGCCCCAGGTACCTCAAACGGATAGCGTCATTCCCCACCAGATCAAACCATGCCATACTTTCAGATCTTTCTTCCAATGTTTCCACAGTTTGTCTCTGTGGCGGCAGAGTTAGAGGCAAGCAAAATACATGGACGTGTTCTGCACACCACTGGTATCCTGCTGCACTGAAAAGTCCCTTTCATTTGTATTTATTGTAGAAAAACATTAAAAACAATTTTGTAATAGCATTATAATTGTGCAGCGTTGGACAGCTAGACACAATGTAGCACTGTGTCAATAATTTATTACATCTTATGCCATAATTGAACGCTTTTACTATGAGCATTTGAGAACAACTTGGACCTTATACAGAGTAGTATTTCTTTCTACATAATAATGGAAAGGTGGATACTTAAGAAAGATATGTAGCTTGGAGGAAAACATACATGGAAGCAAATACCTTCTGCACCACCTATCTCCATGTAAAACTTAAAACTAAATCAACGTATTATATTTAATGACTCCTTTTCTATATATGCATAGTTTCAAGAGCTAATCAGAAAGAAATCATGTTACAGTGTAACTATTTACACCAAGATGGGAGCATACCAGAACACAACTTTCTCTTCTTGACATCAGGACTCTTTTCTTACATTTCCCAGTGGAAAAAGGACTCAGACAGAAATTCAGTCTCAAGAACATTGTTCAAAGGGTCAAACAGGTCATATCCACAGCTCACTGATACCATCTTTATGCACTGCCTTGCGGCTAAAAGCAGGCTATCTAGAGGTGTGGAGGTATAATCTTGTCTGTCATGGACTTCAGTTAAAGCCAGTCTCGTGTCACCGACACAAGGCCTCGTATCAGGCTGCATGACAGCATCCAAATGCTACTGAAGCATGCCCATGGTGGAGAGACATATAGAAGCAGTGGATTTATTGCTTGTAACCATACGTACCCTAGAAGTAAGGAATCTAGTTAACCTTGTTTGAGGAGAGGTTGTGTTCAATGTGTCACATTACTTTGCGTAACACATTCTTGTGAGCAACTGTTCTGCTACCTACAACCACACGACTCCACCACCATGTCCTCATACTGCTTGTAGACCACATTGTTTGCAGAGTCAATGAAAAGAATGCTAATAGGACTCAGCCTGGTTGGGACACAGCAAGTCGGGGGCGTTGATTCTGGGTCCATTGAGTTCATTAATGTTTGGATAACGGCGTGGTTGGTGGGCTCCAGATGGGATCGAAGGGGGAATTCACAAAGCCCTTCGCAGTGATACGCCTCATACTCTAGAGGGGCTATTATCCAGTCATCCCAGCCCATATCCTTAAAATTCACATGGAGGGCTTTTCTGCTACACCTTGCCTTCAGATTCTTAGTGGGCCTCTTCCCTTGCCGCGTTGCTAGAGGAGCTCTTCTCTTCCGCCTCTGATTGAATAAGTACTCATAAACAGTTTTGTCATCTTGGCCGGATCTAGCTTTGATTTCATTGAAGAACAAGTCTCTCTTTTTTGTCCTCCCAAATACCAGGAAGAGAGCCTTTTCATTGACCTGTCTTCCTGTTCTATTAAATCCCACACTCCTCAGATCAACAGCTCTCCCCCTGTCAAAAGTTTCCAGTTCAAAACACAAGTTAACCAAGTTTTTAAAGTTCCTGAAAAGTTTCCAGATGTCAAACACTTCCCACTTGGGTGTATCTGTGATGCTGACAGTACGAGAGTCCAGGAGTGTTGCTGCTTGTCTGTTTGTAGAGCAACTAAATAACTTCACTTGGGAAGTTTTTCCAGAAGAATGAGACTTCCACGTATCAGAAGGCTTCTTCCTCAATATTCGAAGCTCTGCTCCCAGCAAACCATCCTTTTCTAATGCGCTGATGTCAAAAATATATTTTTGTTTCCTTATAGTTGGTGCTCTCTCATCTGAAAAAAGCACACACATTTTTAAATGTACATCAAGCACAGATCAATATCAGTTAATCAATTCTTAATGGTTTTCCTGAAGTTTGCTCATAAGCCCAGAAGTTTCCTTAATTAGCCCACCAAACAGAAAGAGCAATTTTTGTCCAAGGGATCAGTTCTGTGCAGGGACCTAGAAGAACTCAGCGACTCAACAGGGAAATGAGTTTCTGAGTTGCAGAAAACTCATTTCTTTCACCGGTGGGCATTTTCTAGCTTCAAAGTAGCAATTAGCCAATCGAAAAATAGTCCTTTTTCAGGGCTGAGCACTCACAGGGCCCATTCACCACTTATATCCTACTTAAATTACCGAAACAGAGCTTCAGTGGTGCCCAGGCCTCATGCTGGCTCCAAATATGAGCAAATTTACCCTTAGATGATACAATAGTGAATTAGTCCTTTAAAACCAACATCCCTCAGGAACTGCCAGACACAAGGATAATTGCCTTATTAACTTAACTCCACATGATTCACGACTTTTTCAAATTGGGCAGAAAAACATACCTCCCTTTAACCTGACGTTACATTTGCTTGGTTCAGCTCATGAGCAGCACTAACAAGGAATACGGCTGAGCCAACATTCTAGCAACATTACATTAACAATGCCTTCCAGTGGCGAGCTGAGAACCTGAATGCAGCACTTGTGAGCAGCGTATCATCCCTTCCCAGAAGCCAGGCTATTCATAATTAAATGGCAAACAAATCCAGTTCTTGGCTGAGTCTTCCATCACCGTTGCCTTATCAGCTATAGCCTGTGTTCCTTCCTTAAGTACATGACAAAACTCTAAGTAATGTCACTGGAAGCAACATATCATAGAATCATAGAATTGTTTAGGTTGGAAAAGCCCTTTAAGATCATCAAGTCTAACCGTTCCCCTAACCCTGCCATCCCACCACTAAACCCTGGCCCTATGCACCGCGTCTGCCTGGCTTTTAAATACCTCCAGGGATGGGGACTCGACCCCTTCCCTGGGCAGCCCCTTCCAGTGCCTGACAACCCTTTCACTGAAAAAATTTTCATGGGGCTCTCCAACCAGAGCAGTAAAGTGAATATCATTCTTTGGGAGCCTGGTTATTGCTTGTGTGAAAGCAGACACTAGTCCAAATTTCAGAAAACGTTTGGAACCAGAATGTTGAACTGCAAATTCTGGAGTCTCAGAAGTTATTTACTCTTGTTAGTCTGTGCTTAGCTGTGGGCATCTGTGGATAGAAGGTCGGTGGTACCTGAAGGCATGACCTTCGAGCTAGTACAGATACACCCACCCTACACTATAATGACCCCTGGGTCTACAGTGTAGTTCCTCACAATTCTACCTTGAACAAATCAGGCTGACCTTTTGATACTGAAACTTGTGGTTTTTTCATGGAATAGCCCTGTTCTTAGCATATCATGCGGTTTTAGACATACTTTACAACAAAATCTAATGGTAGCAGTTTCCAGGAGCTAGTTACGGAAAGAAAATAAGACAAAATTTTGAAAGGCTTTTGCATACTTCAGCATGCAAAGACTGATCAATTTTCAATCATATGCAAAATATTTTCTAAACATTTTGTTTGGCTGCCACACACCCATCTAGTTCTACCTCTAAATGAATTTTCCAAGATAAGGCAGGAAGATAAAATCTGCAGCAAAGTTGTATGATTTCATTTACATTAAAAAGAGCTATTTGGCTTTAACAAAGTATGATTATTTTCCAATACTCTCTACATATACAAACACATCCAGACATCTCTCTCTGTCCACACACGCACACACATGAGCTCCTTTCTTACCTTGTCCTTTGTCTATAAAGCTGGTTATTGTATTGGCAAGTCCAGCCTCCAGTTTTACACTTCCATTAACACCTTTTCTTTCTGCATCTGAGAGAGTCCTGTACAAAGAGAGCATGTATTCATGTGGCGTTATAGGGGGATGTCTGAAAGTTTCCTTAGTTTCCCTCTGGGTTACAGGCTCTTTAGTCTTTTTGGTTTTGAAAGAATCAGTGTCAGTACTGCTTGTGCCAGTTTTTTTCAAAGCCACCTTGCTGCTAAAGTTTTGAACCTTTGGAGTCACTGTCCTTACTCCAGAAGGTCTGCTGGGGAGATGTCCTACCTTGCCCTCCGTGGCTGCTGTTCTTGAGAGAACCTTCTTTGATTCATCGTTCTTGGCCAGCAGAGCTCCAGCCTGAACAGCACTGCCTTTAGTCCTAGCCTTTGAGGTCCCAGTACTATATCCATGGCTTGCAGTCCTCAGTGTACCTGCCCGTGCTGAGGGATTCCTTTCTTTTCCTTCGGCTTTTAAAAAACCTAGTTTAGATCCTGGATTACTCTGGCCTGCTTCAGAATTACTCAGCGCTCCAGGAACTAGATCCAGAGACAGCCAAGTCAAATGCCAAAGCAGTAAAGTGAGAAAATGCAGGATTTTCATCCTCTGGTCTTCCTCTGAATGCCACTAAAGAAAAAATCAGAAAAGGTTCCTCCAGTTTGGCAGAAGAAAACATGAAAGAAATTAAAAACCAAAGTCAGCAAAAATGGTTTTTGTTTGAGATTAAAACATTTCAAATCTCGTTGTTCAATACTTGTATCCAGTCCCATAGTGGAAATGCTCATGTACTCAGATACAATCTCCCCTGACTTCAGTTAGCAGCTATAAAGAACTTGTTCTTGAAAAGAGAAAGTTTACCACCTCGTTTTCTTCTGTAAAACTGACTGAAAACTTGAAGGAGTCCTGTTTAAATCCAAGGGGTTTTTTTCCAAGAAGGAAGAATGGCGTAATGCTGCCTCTGTGTTAAAAGGTTTTTTTAAAGTTTTGAATCCTTTCCAGTGAAAATATTTCACACACAGAGACCTGCAGGTGCTCAGAAATCTTTTACAAACCTGAACTCAGGAATTGGAAACGGAATTCCAACAAACCTATTTAATTACTCTCTGATGTCATGCTGTCTAAACTAATTTAACTGCGATATATTTCTTTAAAAAAATCTTCTTTACCCTTTTCATTAGCATGAGTCATACTCTGCCTCATGTGAAACAGCTCCACAGGCTTAAAACTCCAGAGGATGACTTTTCAAGTGGCAATACGACCTCTACCTTAGCCTTTGGTGAACTTCACATTTAAACAGGACAGACTGCAAGATCAACAACTGAGACCTGTCATGCAGTCCCCTGGACACGTACACTAAAATACCCAAGTATAATCTGTTCAGCTCCTTTTCCCGAGAACTGTAACAGTGGCTTCACTTTGTCCTCTGGTGACTGAAGGGCTGAGCTGGTAATGCAGGCGCTTAACAAGGGTAAAGTTGTAATTTTTCACAAACACACCACAGCCATGCCCGCAGTCAGTGTATTTTGGTGGTTTTATTGCTATGCTTTAAAAAAACCCCATGTAAGCCCAGTTGGAGAAGAAGTTCCTGCTGGTGGGATGCCCTGCAGGGTGGGCGGCGGTGCAGTGTGGGGCAGCAGTGCACCCTGTAGGCAGGCAGCCTCCTCCTCCAGCCGGAGCCACTCGGAGACACCCCAAAACCCCAGTCTTTCCTCCAGAGGCTGCTGAATGCCAGCCTTTGTTTTAAAATTAGACGCCAAATTTTCAAAAGCTGCCTACCCCACAGCCACAAGAAGGCTGGTAGTTAGAAACCAGCATTACTTACATGTCAAGGCTATCCTGCTGCTTTCGGCCGTACAAAAGAGAGTGTGGAGCAAGTGTGTCTTTCATAAGCTGCAAAAAATGAACTGTTGTTGTTCTAAATGAGCCTTTGGGAAATGAGGCACTGGGCTGGATTGAACAGGGATTAATGGGACCCTTCTCTCATCTTGCACTGACGCTAAGCCCAGTCCTCCTCCCTCAGTTGTTTTTATTTCTGAGGCAAGAAGAAAGGTCAAAGGTACAATACTTTTTAGCTTGATTTGTGCATGCTGTAGCATTTTCCACACTGACTGATATCAGAAACACCAAACTACTTCCATAAAGAACCTGCAGCCCTTCCTATGTGAGAAGCTCTGAATGCTTTACCTTGGTTTGATGGAGGAACTGAAGGATAGGGGAGCTCAGTGATTTCACAGATGTCACAAATAAGGTAGACCCCAAACCCCACCCTCCCAGTTTTGATCTAATGGCTCTTCCTCTGATGTCAGCTGTAGTTTTGCTATTCCCCATCAAAATGAAGCAGCTTTTCGCTGAGTTACTTCTGACGAAACCATTCCCCAGCAGTCACTCCATGCTGTCCGCATGGCCCTCCCAACCATGCCATCCTTTTATCCTTCCCATATTGTCCACCCTCCTGCTGGGCAGGAGGCTGTGTGCCCTGTCTGGTTCTGTGCTATGGAGATATTGATTAGCTTGCCAGTAGGCCACAATACCAGCTAAATGTTGAGTTCCCACTTTCAATCTATCCAGCTTCCAGTTTTCACAGCACTTGCAAGAATGTAACATCTTTAAGAGCTCTGTTGCTCTATCAGACTTGGCTGAGATTTGCAAACAGATTTGCAAATGACTTAAGAGATGGACATGAAAGAGCAGGAGGTAAGACAATGTGATTACATGGGCCTTGTCTCTTAGTAAATCAGATTAAAAACACAATCAATCATATGTTCAAACAGTATTTACATGTCTGAGATCAATGTATCTTAGTGGGCTGGACAGGCCTAGATGGAAAAAAAAAAGAGCAAAAGCAAACAATGAAAGCTGTGCAAACTATTCTTTCTCTGTTAAAGAGGCTCTCTTGAGGCACTCTCCATCTTAGGTGTTGGGAACCATGGATCCACAGATCGCTGTACAGACCGTGCTGAGCCCCATGGCCCCCAGAATGGAACGTTGGTCTTGAACAAGACCCACAGAGTAGGGTGTCCTATTATGGCCCTGTGGAGTTATTCCAGCTGGCTAAGCTCAAACTCAACTGGTATCTTCAATATGTAGATGGAGACCCTCACTCTGGTGCAGGCTTTAGATCAGATATAGGAGATATAGGACACAGTGGAGGAGATGTTCAAAGCCTCTTACTTCTCACCACTGGCCACGTTTATGTGTACCACTCGAGCAACTTGGTTCGTACAGCCCATTTGTCTGGCTCAGCCCACTCTGCAAAGGCAGCTCCTCACAGAGGGTGCGTAGGGATTTGAAAAGGGAGGACTACCTGGGTCCCTGCTCCTTGGAAGTCCATTGCCTCCTGTTCTCGAGATCCTAAGATTATGTCTACGTGAGCTGCGCCACCTTCTCAAATGGACAATTTCAGTGAGTCCCTCTGGACATCCAGAGTGAGCTAGAGGAAGGGATCACTCTGGGGAGCCAAAGGAACATTTCACAGTGTTGAAAAAGTTGCCCCTCCCTGAGGGTAAAAGGCCCTACCCAGGTCAGCATATTTGCACGTTCCGTGTGACAGTGAGGTAAACCCTGGAGCCACAGTGCATGTGCCCCTTCCAGGATGCCAGCTTCTGTCTATACTGTTCTTTAATGCTTGAGCACAGGCACACAGTAACACCTGATGCGCTCCCCAAAGCACGTGCCTTGTAGCACCTGTAGGTGTTTGTTATTTGGATGCAGCGCCACCGAACTCCAGCCAACTGAAGACCTACCCAGTGTTGCGGCAGGCAGCAGCAGGGTCGTCCTCAGGGAAAGCTCAGATCACCTGCTTGATCTGTCAGAGGATGATGGGGAAGAAAGGCAGGACCTGAGCCCAGAAGAAAATGCCAGGCTTGCCCAGAGAGCCCAGAACTCTCTGGGTGCACCCTAAAGTATACCATGCGCAGTTGGTCACTCCAATGTGGCTCCAAGGAGGCTCCACCGGGTACGTGATGCCAAGAGTCAGAATTTGTTCACTGCTGCAGACTTGCAGTTTGAGCTGCATGTGGAACTCTTTATTCTATGGATCTATAAGGAATTTCATTGTCCTTTCCCAGGTGAATTAATTTCCAGAAAGGACTTACAGGATTGAATTGAGTAAACTCCATATATCAAGCCATTCACTGTCACATTGCTGTTGCTTTAGGATAAGAGGAAATGGCCTCAAGTGGCACCAGGGGAGGTTTGGATTAGATATAAGGAAAAATTCCTTTACTGCAAGAGTGGTCAAGCATTGCAACAGGCTGCCCAGGGAGGTGGTGGAGCCACCATCCCTGGAGGTGTTCAAGAAATGTGTAGACGTGGCGCTTCGGGACATGGTTTAGTAGGCACAGATGTGTTGGGTTGATGGTTGGGCTTGATGATCTTGGAGGTCTTTTCCAACCTTAATGATTCTATGATTCTTATTGAAACTAATTAATGTTCAGTTTCTATGAGAATTTAGAGCTCAGCACCATAGCTTTCTGGGGACTGACTTAAAAGTATGAAAGGATAATTTTAGGAAGGAACTTAACAGCTCTGTGCTTTTTGAGAGGAAAGAATTACAGAAAACTCAGAGGTGCTATAATTAAAAATTGGTCTTGTCTTGGGCCAGAGTGAAACAAAGATTGTTCCTACTAACATGGGAAACTGTGGCGTAATTTTAAAAGGCTATGCTACAATGTTGTGCTGATGATAAACAATTAGAAGTCCAAAGAAAGAATTGTGTCACTGGTTATCACAAGACTTGGCTACATCTCTGAACAGCTGTGAGCTACAGATGGGACAAGGCTAGAGAAAAGCACAGGGGTGCGATCTGCTGCACCTCCTGTCACAAGAACACCAGGACTGAGAAGTACCTGTCTGCTGCAGTGATGCGTATGTGGTAGGTCCAGAAAGCCAGGCACAGCACGAAAAGGGAAACAGCATTTTTGGATGTCACTTGGAATCAATGGAAAGCCAGTTGTCTTGGGATCCAAGTAGCCTCAAAACGATGAAGATCTGGAACAAGAAAGAATCTCAGGAGACCTTATGCAGGAAGTTGACCTGACACACAACAGGCAAGAATGAAGCTGGGCCACGGGGAATCAAGCCCCACAGTGACAGCCCAGCTGAGGCTGCAGCATTTTGCTAGTAAGGCTGGAGAACTCTTGTTTCCGCTGTAGATCCAAGTACACAGGAGCCTTGGAGGGCTCAGAGCTGCCCACACAGCCCAGGCATAGCAGGCCGGGAGGGGGGTGAGGGAGCACATGGTTGGAGCCATCCAGCTGCTTGCTGTGACTCTGACAGTCAGTCCCTTTGGAGATGGAGTCCGACATGGTGCTTAGACACAAGCAGAGGCTCTGAGCTCTTACTGAGCAGCACTTTAGTTCAGGAAGATGTGAAAAATTGAGACAGCATAAAGTGGTCCACTCACCCGGCAGCCATGCTGTACACGGGAGGGCATCAGACTTACAGATTGAACTTGTCTAGCTGCAGTTTCAGAAATTTGATTTCTTTTCTATCTTTGTCTCAACTGACAGGAATTTATAGCTTTAAATTAACCTCTCCATCTTCTGATCAATAAGCTAGAGATCCTTCAGCCGCTTCGTATAAGGCAGGTTGTCAGAGCTCAT